ACTCGGACAATGAATCAGGAATTGGCTTTGATGTGCTCTAATTCACCCCAATTTACAAAACTTCTCTCATAAGTAAACTACCGTTTGCCCACTCTAACACCATATATCCCGACCTAAAAGGCTCACACCCCAACAAGAATAACTTTTATGGAACGGGTTTATCATCATCCGGTGTTCTGATCCAATAACACAATGTCATGCGTAAATTTCTCTTCACACAACATGCATTATTTTACGGCGCACCGAAAACCTCAAAGCAACAAAAAACCGTAATGTATATAATGAAAGCTCATTATGACGTACACGTGAAGTCGTGAGTAATCACAAGGACCACGCCGTAAAACTGTTTTTAAGGCATCCAATGAGTGCCGTAATGCATACCTTATACGATGTTTGCCAAATGTCGTATTAGCTTGTTAATTTACGGCTTTCTTCCTAATTCTTCATCACTCACACGTGTATTTATAGCACCCCGAAAATAATATTTTTTACGGCATGCATACTAAGCATGCCCTAAAACTCAAGCCGTACAATCTCAAAAATGTTGTAGTGTTGCATTATTGGATTAAAAATACTACTTTTCACCCAAACGTACCATAAATGTTCCGCGTCTTATGCCAATTATCAGCTTCCCACCGATTATTGATGCATGGTTCGAATCAATGGCCGACAAGGATGAAGTAAGTTATATGGGTGAATTATGGGGTACAAATCTTTTGTGCATGGTCTACACTTTTGTTCCTTGTTGAGCTAGGGTCCTATCAGAGGACCCCCTCCTTGATCATGCTCGATTATCATAGCCTAACAGGATTGATATACGATCTGTTGTGGTCCTTCGTGTCGTCTTCTTGTTACATATATAGGTCCCAGAAATTAGGCTAAAGTTGAAGATTAATCATTGAAGTATAGGATGCTCTACCATCTCATTGACAATTGTAGTCCACATGCCCTCTCTAAAGCCTATAGCTTAAGAAAAATTGTGAAATCAAAGGTCTTCTACTCTTCTTGTTTTACAAAGCGGAATATCTCTTACATGATTTGAAAATATCTGTTCGTGTTCCACATGCCCTCCCTTTTTATTTTCATTTTCCTTTTCTTTTTCGTACATGAACAGAAAATATTTTTCAACAAAGCGGAAAGTGAATGCTTCTAAACCAGAAGATTATATGTAGAATAAGATTTCTAATTGTATAGTGCACAAAAAAGGCCGTTGATGGCTCTTTGACTTAGTTTACATAATGATAAGGAAAAGAGACCCGTGATTATTTGATTTAAGTTATTTAAAAGAAACAAAGATTTGAGTGGTTCAATGGGACAACATCAAGATTTGAAAATGGTGAGAGGTTCCCCTCGTGCTATTGTTGATTGACTAAAAGGTCTTTTTTTTATTGTTCTTTTTTTTTTTTTTTTTGTTTCAGAGATGATTTTTATATTTTTTTTAATTATACGAACGATTTTAAATATAAATACGAAATTTCGTGAATCAGTCACAAAGTATGGAGGAACTCCTTTTGATTCTTAAGGAGGCAAGCCTAGATACTTCCAACATCTGAGTGAAAGTTGAACAGAGGTCTTAAAGTTGGTATCGAGCCAGTACTTTGATTCCCTTGAATCCTTTCCCGATGGATAAGTACACCCTTATAGGGTTCAGCTCAAGTAATGTAGACTCTTTTACCGATATGTTCATATGTTTTTATATAGTTTCTATGACTAAACAATCTTATATTTTATTTTATTTTTACATAGATGATCTTTACATAATGAATACTAATACAAACGGTTTTAACCAAGAACACAAAATATCGTAAATCGGTCATTAAGTATCGTGAGGAGAATTCCTCCTTAACGTTAAGGAGCTAAGTTAATTCCTTTAGGAAACATGAGATGCATATGAACCATTTATACTAAGGTCGGAGGGGGATTATCTTGGCATATCTAAACATATCTTACTCGTCATCAAAAAAATGAAAATATTTTGCCCTCTTGCTCTTGTTTTTATATCTACGTACAAAATATAAAGATTCCATGTCCAAATTGATTCATTATTCAAATTAAATGATAAAATATTGCTAAACTTACACTGGAAAGAATATTAGAATTGTTGGAATATGTGGCCAAGTGGCCAACTCACATCCACTTTCGGCTAATAAAATAATAAGGTGGACAAAATCATTGTTGCTTTCCTTGTTTTGAGGAGAAAAGGAAAAGGCTAGCAAGTAGCCTTATTATTTTATTTGTATTTGGTTGTTTTTAAAGGGAATGAAGGGTGCAGCCGAGTGATGAGAAAAAAAAAGGAAGGGCACCATTTGTTTTTGAGCATTCCTTTTGTGAGAGCATCCAAGGGGAGAGCATTCGGCTCTCCCATGGAAAAGGTTGAATATGGGTTGAGAGAAAATCAAGAGAGCTAGAGTGAAAAGTATTATAGTGAAAGAACTCTTGGGGTAGAGTGAGGCTCTTGGGAAAATTCTGTGAGTGGGTGTACAAGGGATATGGGATTGAGTTATATCGATTTAACTCATGTATACTTGTACTGTTATTCTCATAGTGAAGAGCAATATCTCTCCGGGGACGTAGGCAGTTTTTTTGCCGAACCTCGTAAATTTCTCTGTGTCTTTATTTCTTGTACTTTATTTTGTTCAACTGTGTGTGATTTTATGGTGAGGTTGTAATCTGAATCTCGGTTCCGCACTGACGAACGGGCCAAGGCACAACAATTGGTATCAGAGCATCGTTGGGGGCTTTGGTTCGTTGGAGGTCCAGATTTGTTGTTCACCATAGAATTTTCAGTTGAGCAGTTTAAAGGGAGAGGCGGTTTTGCTCTTGGTAAAGGAGAGTAATGGAAGCCTGAAGAAATGGAAGCCGTGTTTAGGGATGCTTGGATCAACTGCGAAAGTTGATGTTGAGGAAGAAGACAAAGGCCTCTTTCTTCTTACCTCACTTTCAGATTTGTACGAGAACCTTGTGAAACTTTACTGCAAGGAAAGAAACAGTAAGTTTGGAGCAGGTGCAAGCTTCTTTGGTGTGGAATGATACACACAAGAGACCATGGATGATGGTGGGCACAAGACTGCTTAAGCTATTCAAGGTTGAAATCGTGGAAGAAAATTGGAAAGAGGATCTGAGAGAGACAGCAGGTTCGGATCCGGTTCCGGAGGCAAGGGTCCACAGTGCTACGGGTGCAAGGCCGGGTTAGCAAGTTTGTGGTGGAAGACTTTGAGTATGCCCTCTAGGTACTCGAAGTAACACTTCTCCTGGTGATGTTTAGTCTCAAGTGTTGCAGGGGTTTTGCAGCAGGTGGAGCTATGGGATTCACAGGTGATGAGAAGGTCCTGAGGTAGGAGGAAGTGTGGGAATTTTGTCTGGCTCGATGGGTTGTTGCTGGAAATAGGCGCGCTGACGAGTTTCCAGGTTGCAGACAATGAAGAGGAGGAAAACCTGCAGGAGGAGACGAGGATGTGTTGAGATCCTGTCTGAAGCTAAATGGTGATTTTTAGCTTGCAGCAGCTGCACATGCATTGGCAGTGACTGAATCGGAACAGGACCAACGAGGTTGATTCAGAGTGTGCATGCTGGTACGTAAGGCCAATGGATTTTGGAACTTGGCCAAGGTGGAGATTGTTGGAATATGTGGCCAAGTGGCCAACTCACATCCACTTTCGGCTAATAAAATAATAAGGTGGACAAAATCATTGTTGCTTTCCTTGTTTTGAGGAGAAAAGGAAAAGGCTAGCAAGTAGCCTTATTATTTTATTTGTATTTGGTTGTTTTTAAAGGGAATGAAGGGTGCAACCGAGTGATGAGAAAAAAGAAGGAAGGGCACCATTTGTTTTTGAGCATTCCTTTTGTGAGAGCATCCAAGGGGAGAGCATTCGGCTCTCCCATGGAAAAGGTTGAATATGGGTTGAGAGAAAATCAAGAGAGCTAGAGTGAAAAGTATTCTAGTGAAAGAACTCTTGGGGTAGAGTGAGGCTCTTGGGAAAATTCTGTGAGTGGGTGTACAAGGGATATGGGATTGAGTTATATCGATTTAACTCATGTATACTTGTACTGTTATTCTCATAGTGAAGAGCAATATCTCTCCGGGGACGTAGGCAGTTTTTTTGCCGAACCTCGTAAATTTCTCTGTGTCTTTATTTCTTGTACTTTATTTTGTTCAACTGTGTGTGATTTTATGGTGAGGTTGTAATCTGAATCTCGGTTCCGCACTGACGAACGGGCCAAGGCACAACAAGAATCACCTTCCAGTCTAGTGGATAAAACGTCTCTTTCCATTCGAAATGTTTGACCGTTTGCATGACGTTCAAACAAACTCAATATTTGCCAGTGGTAGATTGCACCAGCTAGGTCTTCTATTTCAATCCACAAAATCTCGGGTTCAAACTCTTAATCCTTCTTTTTTAGTGTAGTTTAAAATAAAAAGAGCTTATTTTTCTCTACGCTCTTAGAACTTTATTGTAATCTCATTTTATCTCCTGAAATTCAAAGGTCATCATTTTACTTTTTGAAACTCAAAATTTATTCCACTTTTAACTTGTGACTCTCTTTTTTCTTCAAAATTCATAGGTCACATCCTGAAACATATGTGAGACACAACACATAACAAGACTATGTCATATTTGCAATAAATTTGATTATAAATCTCCATTATGCGTTAACATTCAACGATCAAAAAATATTAAGTTTAAAAAAAATTAGAGAGATGAAAAAACTAAAAAATAAATTGATTAGTCTGATGCACTCAAATCAAACCCACTTTAGAATTTAACAAATTTAAGGTAATTTGAAGCGAATTTTGAAATTTATAGAGACGACTTTAAATTTCAAGAAGCAAAATGAGATCAAAGTCGAGCCTCAGGGACGAAGTGGAGCAAATTTGAAGTTTCAAAGAATAAAATGGTAACTTTTGAATTACCGAATCTAAAGTGAGATTAAATGAAGTTTCAAGACATAGCTAAAAATAAGCCATAAAAATATGGCTTGTATTAAAAAAACAAAAAAAATTAGAAACTTGAGATTTTATATAATTTAAAAGGAAAAATAAACAAACAATAAAAAAAGAAAATTTCACGTTACACCAACCCGCAGAAGAAGCTATCTCATTGGGCTATAGCCTATACCGCTATAGTAGTAGTTTGCTTTAGTAAAACACAACACAAAGTAAAAACCCCCTCTCCCCTACACGTACCAACAACTTGTAGTTGTACCACCTATCACTACAAGTTACAAACCATCAAAATCCCCCATCATTTTTACAAGGGATCCATTTGTGTCACTACAATGGGGCTCCGAACCACGTGCTTCCCGTCGCTCCAGTAAAGCGACCCGAACGCCGCACCTGACTCACCAAACACCACATTCCTCCTATCCACCGCGACCGTCACTACAAAGCTCCGCTTCTTTACCGCCCCACTAAACACCAGCCTCGACGGCTTCACTGACACTGTCACCCCTTTTGGGGCCTCAATCCTAGACCTGTACACCGCATTGGGTTGCCCCACATTCGTCACGGTCCGAATAAACATCTTACTCGACTTACCCGCCCTGGAAAACACCGCGCCAATGGACGGGTAATTGAGATTCTCCGGCGCAGGCTTCTTCACCGGACATTTGGGTTGGACCCGAGTGATGACCTGAATCACTCTTGGCCCATACCCAACTCCACAAAGAAACCGAACGTAATCATCATTGGTGATGTCATAAATAAGCCCAGGATCCATAGCCCGGCCCAAATTCAAATGACCCGCCCCCAAATCATAAGGCGTGGAGGGCTTTCCGGTTGCCTCATCAGTCATGGTCTGATTTCTATTATCAGTCACGCTCGCCGTCGTCATCATGGCGGATCTTATGGCGGCTGGGCTCCAATCCCGGTGAGCCGACTTCAGCAAAGCCGCAGCTCCGCTCACGTGCGGAGCGGCCATCGAAGTCCCGGACAAAATGTTAAACTCCGTTTTCCTCTTGTCAGTGTCCAGACCGGTGGGTCCCACGGAGTCTGTCCAAGCGGCCAAGATGTTGACTCCCGGGGCGATCAGGTCTGGCTTCAGAATCTCCGGGTTCAGCCCGTTTGGCCCACGACCCGAGAACGAAGCCACAACCGGAGCCGGTTTGATTCCAATCACAGTCCCTTGGAAATCGAGCGTCGCCATGGGGTTCTTGGTGGAGGCCACGTAGGCCTTTATTGCGTCACCCTCGTCCGCCCCGACGGCGCAAGTGGCCAGGATATGTGCGTCGCCGACGAGACCCTCGCCGTTAGAAATTCCGTTAGCGAGGATCATTCCAACACCGCCGGCTTTCTTCACGACTAAGCCTTTGGCCGCTCGAGGACTGCTCCCGCGGTCGCATATTACAATTTTGCCCCTGACCTGGCGCGGGTCCAGGGTGTTCTCCATGCACAGCGAAGCAGAGAGCATGCTTGATTTCCCAGGATAAACGACAGGGTACATCTTGCCTTTGAGAGGTAATCCGGAGTACAACGACACACCGCTTAGTCTCCGGCCGTTGCCTAAAATCACAACCGCCGGGAAATTCCGATCGATGGTTCCCGCGCCCACCGTAGTAAGCCAAGGCGCAAGATTAGTCACCGACATGCCGTTTGGACCGTCGTTGCCGGCCGATGAAGACACGAACACTCCGTGCGAAACCGCTCCGTACGATCCAATCGCAATCGGATCGAGATAATACGGAGCAGAAACACCGTCGCCGCCTCCGATTGAAATAGAAATGACATCAACGCCGTCATTAACGGCGGCGTCAAAGGCAGCCAATATATCGGAGTCGAAGCAACCAGAATCCTTCCAGCATACCTTATAAACCGCCAACCGAGCTTTTGGAGCGACTCCTTTCGCTATTCCGGCGGCGTAACCCGACATGCTCGCCTCGAACGCGTACCTGCCGATCGCCGTGGAGGCGGTGTGGGTGCCATGACCATCCGCATCTCTCGGCGACCTGTACTCCACCGTGTCGTTTATCGGTGATATCGGACCTCCGGCATTGGCCGCCGCCTCGTGGCCCTTGATGAAGAATCGAGCTCCGATCAGCTTCCTGTTGCAGTTACTCTTCGCGAATTTAGTTCCTGTCTCGCAAACCCCCTTCCACCGCCTCGGAATCGCCCCAAGATTCTTATCCGTGAAACTCCGACGCTCCGGCCAGACGCCGGTGTCAAATACTCCGACAATGACGTCGAGCCATAGTCCGATTCCGACCACAGCCCCCTCTGGTTCCTGAGCCCCAAAAATTGTGGGGATCGAGTGGTGTGGAGACTCCGGCGGCAGGTCCTGGATCACAGCAAGCACCGAAGGGTGGTCGGAGATGGCGGAGACCTGGTCAGGAGTGAGAGAGGCGGAGAAGCCGTGGAAAACGGTGTCATAGACGTGGAGGATCTGGGGCGGGTCGGCGAATTCGGAGGCGTACCAGTGGTAGTGGGTGGGGAAAATCGAGGGCTTGGAGTGGCGGTCGACGCGGAAAATGAAGGTCTTGAGGGTTTGATCGGCGGCCTGCGGCGCGATTTGGGCTGAGAATTTGAACAATGTGAGAAGCAAGAGGAGGGGGAGGAGAGGATTGGAGGCCATTGGAAGGGGGGCAGAGAGAGAGTGAGAGTGAAGTGGAAGAACTGTGTGTGACCGACAGACAAGAGGGCAGAGTTATAAGTGAGATTATTATTCTTTTCTTTGTTTTGAATAATTAATCTGGAATTCTAATTAATTAATCATTTTCCCGTTGTAGTAATTTTGTTAGTTATTTTAATGGCGGGAGTGTGAGTGGATAATTTTGTCGTAGACGAGTCAGCCGACTCAGCCCATTTACTGCGCGGGGCCTCGAACAAGAGAATCGACATTGCATTTTGAAATCTTTGCTACGAAAACGACGGCGTAGGGTCCTTAATTTAACTTAGGTTGCATAAAGCGGTGCCGTTTTGTCAGCTTAATCTGAGGATACAAAGAAGATAAAGATAAAGATAATAAATCCGTCAATTTTTGGGGTTCCTATTCCCATCTTTACTCCTCAATTCGAGCGAATTTAACTCTGAGTTGTGGGGATCTATACTTTCATTTCTTTTTACTTTTCATGTGGTTATGATGTTGAATAATGATCATTGCATAGGTGGTGATCATGATCATGATATGCGTATGGTCTGCACGAGTCCTATCACATTTTTAGGGTAAAATCGACTACTTGGGGTCAAATAGTTTTGATAGCTATAAAGTGGATTGATGGGAGACATAGTCACACAGATGTATTTACATTAAGAGAAAGAAAAATAGACTTAGATTTATAATAGGTTAGTAATGATGTGATTCAAATTCATTTTTACGAGAATCGAATTTAAAACGTCTCACTTAAATAAACATTTTTTTTGATAAAATTTAATTTAATTAATATTTTTATAAATACAATAGACTTACATACATTTAATATAAGAGAGTTTTAACGAAAAGCCCGCAGTACTGTTCACTTTAACAAAAAAAACCATATTTTTACACTAAAAAGTCAATCATAGTACTATTCACTTTACCTTTTATTTTTTCCTATTGTTAAAACTTAAAGTTTTTAAGCTATTTTCATTAGTTTTCCTTTAATATAATCACCGATAGATAATAATTATACAATTAAGACATTAATTATATGTAATTGATAATATTTATACAATACATGTATTACCACTTTCGTACTACGGTCTTGTAGTATTCTTTTTTACTTATAAGAGAGATGTCTTAAGTTTGATTCTTGTCAAGACGAAGTTGAACCAAATTAGTATGACAAATCCATTGTTAGGCTTAACTCATTCCTCCACTCTTAGCGTAGATATTATCGTTTGTACATATATGTATTGTAGTCATTCTCAAAACTTATATTTAATTATTTTTAATGGTATGGGGCAAATGATTGAGTAGGGACTCATCTATTTTGTATGATCCATACATGGTAATTGGGAGAGATACCTACTGTACCTACTCATGTAGAATATTCCATATGGAATCTAATTATTATTTTTCCTTATGTTTTAGATTATTTAAATACAGTAGGAGTATAAAGAAAAGTAAAGACTATTGAAATTTGTTAAGGGAATTTTAGTTTTAAATTGTCATGCAAATGTTATTTCATACCAACTATTAGGTGTCCCATATTCTTGTGCGTCTTCTATTATTCTTAGTTATTTTCCCACATGGTGCCATGAAAAATTAAGTAAATTTACTTTCAAGGATGATAAAATTAAAAAATTCTTCTGTGTTGGTCTCTAATTTTTTTTTTTTTTTTTTCCCGTCAAAGTGTTGGTCTTTATTTGCACCACTAACTAAATGGTTTAAGACTTTTGAAACTATTTGAACCCAATTTTGTACTGCAGTTGGTCCATATACTCTAAGCGGTTGGATGAGAGAAATATTAATAATCAGGATTGGTTTCCGGATAAAGGTTGAATCAATTGCATAATCAATTTAGGTTCTGAGTCCTAGTCAAAGACACAAGAAAAGATGATAGAGTTTCGAGCGAGAATAATTTTGAATATATTCAAAGAACATGCCAAGGAATTGGAATATTATTAGAATCTTACAACTCGACTAGACTTGGCCATCACAAAATTCACCCCTATAAATAGAAATTGTTTTGCAACATAGAAAGCCCTTTCAACTCAACAAAAAACTAAAAAAATCTCTACGAGAAACCTCATTCTACGGAAGCTTCGCTCTATGTGAAACCTTCTCACAACCATGTGACAAAAAATACTAATTATCCCAACCCCTTTATTAGCACAAATCAGTTTGGTTGAACATCATTGAGTTAGCAAACCAGCAACACATTTGTCTGGCTAAACATCATTGTAGTCGTGAAACTAATCGGCCTAGAAGTACCCTTAGTTCGGTTGAATAGCACTACTTCTAGTTAAGGTGGTTATCTATCTAAATCTTAGCCGACAAAAAGTTTTTTATTCTTTCTTCGAAAGATGTCACTTCATTAGTTTCTTAGTGAAGTGAGGTTTTCTATGATCAGCTCGTAAGTACATTTCAGGTTTGGCATTCAAGTCAGCGAATGACGTTTACCATAAAAACACTCATCTCCTTTGAGTATATTTGCCCTTACAGTCTGATACCAATTCAGCTCACTAATATTCTCACAAATATAGTTGAAGCTATCGGAACGTGGTGTAGATCTTGAACTTCGCATTGAATTAAGTAACCTTATCTTTGAGTTCTAGAACCCTAGGCCGAGAGGCATTCCTTCCTTGGCAGTAGTCGCTAAGTGCAGAAGTCAGTAACGCGTTCGACACCACCACCACAACTACTTTACTTGCCTGATCAACCTTAGTCGTGAGTTAGCATGCTCGCATTCACAACAAGTACGTAATTAGCTTAATAATTCCTTGGTTTACGGGCCATGTAGAAATTATAATTTTTAGGATCAACAAAAACTTATAGAATGTTTTTAATTAACAAGCATGAGAACTTACAGAGGATATCCGAGACATGATTATGATAAAAAAAAAAATTAAAAAAGATTCCTACTCATTTCGGAATGTAGTTACAATTGACAGGAGATATCCAGTGGCAAATTTATTACCATATTTCACAAATAATGCCCAGGTTTAGAAAGTCGATTAATGTAGTCAAGGTCATTTACTTAGCTATTTTTTTTTTTCATAGAACAATAGTGTTAGTGAGTTAAATAGTTAAATGCTAGGAAGGATAATCAGTAGAAATCGAAACGCAAGAATGCATAGACATAGTTGAAATCATTTAGTTACCTAATTTTGTTTGTTAATAAGGTTATTTGAAATCATTTTCCTTTATAAAGCTATCAACCTAGCCATACACATGTATGTGATCCTCTTAGAATTTCCCGTCTCCTAACTTGCATGTTGAAATGAGAGTCGTAAAACATTTTTTTTCTTCCAAAGAAAGTTGTAAGACTTTGGTTTAGAACTTTTTAGGAACATCAAATACAGCAAAACATAATTTAAGTTAATGACACATCAGTCAATTAATTCCAAATAATCACCGACAACTAAATGATCTTCCTTTTCCTTTTCATTTTATTCTAGTTTTCTTTCTTTTAATTAAAGATATATTTGCCGATTTTCTCTCAACTTTTATAAAGTTGTCAATTCTCTCTAAACTTTAAATTTAACTGAGCATCCTTAAATTTTTATAAATAACTAATTTTCCTCTAGCGTTAGTTTTGAATTTTTTAGCCAATTTTTCATCCATCTTGGTCATGTGGACAATACATGGCAACCGTATAAAGGTGAACATGTAATTTTGTTTTGTTAAATTGCACATAGAGCCAATACTTTGCAACTGTTAATTGGACTCTCATGGCTAGTTCAAACAGTAAGTATACAGAGTGAACTAGCAGAAGAGAAAAAAAAAAAAAAAAAAAACAATTTGATGTCCACATTAGAGATTAAGTTACTTTATTGCCCTCAAATATTTACCATGTGACTAAAATGGATATAAAATTGGATAGAAAATTTCAAAATCTAACGTCATAGGAGAAATTGGTTAACTATTAAAATTGGGTAAAGTACAAAAAACTACCTCAACTATTGGGGTCACAACAGTTTCATACCTCATCTTTTAAAATTGACAATGTCATACCGCATCTTACGAATTTGTGACAATATCATACCTCCGTCAAATTTTCCGTTGGTTTTTCTGTTAAGTGCTGACGTGGCAAGAGACAGGGACCACTCACTAATCCAGCTGGATTAAAAATAATTAAATTAAATATTAAAAAAATTAAGAATAAAAAAACAAAACAAAAAAATTTCCTAGGGTGCGGCATCCCCTTTCCCCTATCCTTCTTCTTCTCCTTCTCCTTCTTCTTCTTCTTCTTCTTCTTCTTCCTTCTTCTGGGGTTTTTTTTTCCTCTCCTCTTCTTACCTCCTCCTTCTTCCTCCTTCTTCTTCTTCGGTTCTTCCTCCTTCTCCTGGGCCTGCGGTGGGTGGGGGAGGGGGTGGCGGGTGAGGGTGGGTTTTCAATTTTTTTTTTTCTTTTTTTTCCCTCCTCCTCTTCTTCCCTCTTCTTCTTCTTCGGTTCTTCCTCCTTCTCCTTAGGGGGGGGGGGAGTAGGTGGGGTTGGGTTTTCAATATTTTGTTTTTTTCCTCCTCTTCTTCCTCTCTTCTTCTTCTTCTTCGGTTCTTCCTCCTTCTCCTGGGGCGGGTGGGGTGAGTTTTCAAATTTTTTATTTTTTTGTGTTAAAGATTAAGCAGAAGAAGATGAAGATGGGGAAGAGAGAGAGGGGGAGGGAAGGGACTACTAAGGTTTTTTTTTTTTTTTTTTTAAAATTTTAATTTTACTTTTATTTATTATTTTAATATTTAAAAATATTAAATATTTTTTTTTAGTTTTAATAAGTATTTTATTAATTTTTTATAGAAAGTGGTCTCAGTCTCTTATCACGTCAGCATTTAACAGAAAACTAACAGAAAATTGACAGAGGTATGATATTGTCACAAATTCGTAAGATGCGGTATGACATTGTCAATTTTAAAAGATGAGATATGAAACTGTCGTGATCCTAATAATTAAGGTAGTTTTTTGTACTTTACCCATTAAAATTCAAGGGGGTAAGGAGCTAAAATTAAAGTTCAA